TTATTTTCAAAGGGATAGGAACTGGGCAGGTCCTGGTAAGATACGACTAAGCTACCGTATAACAGTAGCCGCTACCACCTGTCTTACGCCGAATGTTGGGCATCGTATACCAAACCTGACATCCCATAGTGTGCCAACGGCTTCTGGTGGAGGAGCACATTGGGGAGGATACTAGCCTTATACTAGGAGGAGGGAATGCAACCTGAAAACTTTATGTTATCGCAGGGCAGACCAGGCCCTTAGCCTTGGCTGGAAACCGGTCTAGGGGGGAAGCTCTGACAGCGGACAGATAGAGCACTGCTCTTCTGATCCGGCAGCTTCTGCAGCCTACTTTGCTCCAAACTAGTGTTACATTTCCTTTGGAGTAAACAAGGCCCGTTGAGAGAGGAATCTTGATGCATGAGCAATATATGGTCTCTAGAATACTGCCCAGGCTTTGTGCTATGGAGAGGACAAACTTCACCCAGGCCATAATTGGTCTGGTAAACAAATCGAATGGCAGCAGTTACGGGTTGTAAGTCCTTGTCAGTTGGCGTAGACGAGGGTGCCACGGGTTGCTTCTGACGGTAGGAGACATCTTTGAATGTTACTGTTCAACTACCACTCGCCTCAAGCTGGGCAGCCCCAGCCAATAAGGTGTTGATCCACCACAGCTTGCTTGCTTCAACGGTGCTTGGAACTAGGACAAAATTCGAATCGCACGCTGTAAAACCAATGCACCAGGCAACTGAAACAATATAACTTAAAGCGTCGACTTGGTTCTTGCAAGGTGAGAACCATTATTCCCGGCTTCTACACTGACCTTGAAAACATTAGGAATGTGTCAAAAACGGCTATCACTGATGCCAGGAAGAAATCAGAAAGTATGGAATGGGTTTTGCAGTAAAGAATTCACTGTTGGGATCAGTTGAGAGTCCCCCTTGAGAAAATGACAGACTATTATCCCTACGATTGTCTTCCTCAAGCGGTCACATCACCCACTCTAGCGGATTTATTTTACGAGGATCTGGATAATGCAATGAAAGCAATTCCGAAATCTGACGGCATCTTTATTTTTTAGTGTTTTTAATGCTCGCGTTGGGTCGGACTCAAACTCATGGCCAGTTTGTTTTGGAAAATATAATATTGGTCAAATTAATAAAAAAATAGGCAGAAACTATTGGATTTCTGCACTAGAAGTTATCAAACTCCTTTTTTCAAAACAAAAGACCGCCATTAGGTGTCATGGAAACATCCAAGATACGGCCATTGGCACCAGTTGAACCTTATTCTCACTAAGAGGCACTTGAACTATGTTTCACTAACACGCAGCTAATATAATGCTGACTGTGATACTAACTATTCCCTAGTTGCTACAAGAGTTTGGATGCGACCAAAAAGAATGTTCACATCAAAAAACAAATATATCTCCAGGTTAAATATTTCCAAAATTTAAGACCCAGAAAAGTGTTTTCAGTTCCAACAACAGCTCGAAGATGCTTTCACTGATATCCAGGATCACTCTACAGCAAGCCTAAAATGGGATACAAAACAGCTGCATCAGTCTATGGGATAAGAGAACATGGAAATAAGGACTGGTCTGAAGCAAAAAGCCAGACACTACAACCCTTAATTGATAGCACAAAGTTAATTAATACTCATCAGAAACAAAGAACAGCAAAGAACACCCTCAGTGAATTAAGCGAAGCTATAAATCATTTGCAAAAGGTAGATAGGTAGTGTGCCAATGACTATTGGATACAATTGTGTTAAAGTGTTCAAAATGCTTTCAGTAGTGGTAAGGTTAGTCGGCTCTGTGGCTGAGTCGATGCGAACGCTTCGTAATGCCGGAATGCCGGGTTCGATCCCAGCTGCGGGCCATGCGCCTTGCGTTGGTTTCGACAGTGGTATCAAGAAAGCCGACCGTCCAGATTAATAGCAAACTACTGGACGTAAATTTGCCTAGAAAAACCACACAACACCCAGGGGCTGTTGGGGTTGGTTCTGCAACGTCATGTAAAGGATAGGCAACTAACCTTATCGTTTATTGCGTCATCATTTCTAATGGGTGTTCGTTGGTTGTCTTCGCTATGCCCTGTTTGCAAGCGGTGTTCTTACTTCTTGACTTCGCCGTGAATTTCTCTGACCTGTCAGTATTCCCGCATCTAACACCAACCGACGTGTAGGCTATGCGTACTTAATGTATGATGAAAAAAAAAGGATTCCCGTACTGCGTACCCCCAGAAGAAAAAAAAAAAACCCTGTTAATAATAATGTGTTGCATAGCAAATAAATTTCATAATATATAAATGTGTTGGCTCTGTGGCTAAGTCGATGCGAACGCTTCGTAAAACCGGGTTCAATCCCAGCTGCAGGCCATGTGCCTTGCGTTGGTTTCGACAGTGGTATCAAGAAAGCTGACCGTCCAGGAAGCAATGGCAAACTACTTGACATAGATTTGCCTAGAAAAACCACACAACAGCCTGGGGCTGCTGGGGTTGGTTCTGCAACGTTCTGTAAAGATTACTCAACTAACCTAAAAATGTATTAGAAATGACATTAACTGTACAAATACTTGAGGAAAAAAAAATAGACGTCTATAAAAAGTTAGAGAGACCATGTAGCCCATTTGCAAATAACTTTCTAAGGGAGGGGGGGGGGCGGAGGTGCTCAGAGCCCACCCCCTTACACTTGGGATCCTCAAAGGGTCTGCGCTCCTGCCGTGGTTCGTGCGCCCCCTGCTCACTGCCACCCGATCAATGAGAAAGTTCTAGCCACTGTATTATTACGACTCCTAAATGTTGCCTAGTAATAAAATGTAATGCATGAATGATTTTCTTTATTGGTGCATTATTCACACCTGCACCGCTGTTAAAACATCTACTCATTTATTTCTTGACTAAAACTTCTTATTCAAGAGATCCCACTAGAAAAAAAGTTAATGGGACAATTATATCTACTACCACTTTTCGGGTTTTTGTAATTTCCTGTAAATCAGTATGACTATAAATCTACTTCCATAATAAAGTGTGGATGCAATGAATATCTAACGCTCTTGTCTCACAGTTTCTCCCCGGCAACTCCATTGTGCCCCCGTCTCACCCCTGAACCTCAAATTCCCCCCCCCCCCCCCCCCCCCCCCCCTTCCCCGCCGATATACCACTTAATCTTTCTTATACCCAAAACTTAAAGATGGCTTTCAAAAATGGTCTATTACATCAACCAAAACAGTGAAGGTTCATATTTCAATAGTACGGATGACTAACTTATTTTAAACGGTACAAAGAACCCCCAGTCAATTGTTCACTAACTAGGTCATTACACACCTACTCAAACATACATGCAGCACACCTGTCACAGCACATCGCTATTAAACAGCGGACTTTCCATCAGCCAATCAACAGCCGTTATTTAAAGCCGACGGAAACACCCGACCAATCAGCGGCCGTTATTTAAAGCCGACGGAAATTTTCGACCAATCATAAGCCGGGATTTTGAACTTTCTTTGTGTCACGGATTCGACCAAGAGAATCCCCGAATTTCACGCACACGGGGCAAACTCACGTGTACTCGGCGTAAGTTCATTGTTTACACGATTTTACTAATCCCTGAAGAAAACTTGACGTAACAACGCGTTCACACTTTATTATCTGGTTACATTGAGTTAATTAGAGGTAAGATTACACCATCGTGGCCTTGTTACATGGTGTGGCGGTTACACTGAATCATCGACGACTAACCGACGTCGGTCTTGTTTCAATGTTTTCGTTTTCAAATCTGATCGTTGGAGACGGTTTAAAACTTGAAATTTCCCCGCTTTAGATGATGCGTTTCCTGGGTCGTATTTGTGGCGACTCACGTGCACTTTACACGTGCAGGAACACAGTGTACACATTAATTAAGGGTGGTTGTTGTTGATTAAAGATGTTTAGTCCCGTTCCCCCTGGCTGGGCCCTGTTGGGCTGGCTGTAATTATCTGCGTCGGATAAATTCAAAATGTCGTCGCCGACTGGCGAAACCTGATGGACAACTTTTTAAAGCTGTCTTGGCGGCGGTTTTGACTGTATTTATAATTTTTTTTTTTTTTTTACTGTACGCGTGTGCAATAATAATTGAAATTGTGCAGCAATTGTTAAAATACTATGATTACTTTACTGTTTAGTTATCGTCTTATGTGTAGATTTAGTATTAATTGTAATAATTAATTAATTATAATACAATTCTCTGCCGTCTCCATAGTGAAGGCTGGCTACAGTGCACCAATCGACCAGCTACTGTCTTTGGACTTTGGTAACTTTTTCTTCTGCATCTTCTTTTTCTGTTTCTTCCTCCTTTCTTCTTCTGCTTCTTCATCCTTTCTTCTTCTGCTTCTTCCTCCTTTCTTCTTCTTCTTCCCCCTCCACCATGAAAACGGCAGACATTTATGGTTGTTCTTCCATTTCTGGAACTTTAGTTTTGCGTGCACATATGTTTTTACACATCTAGTTATTATGCAGACTGTTAGTTTCTCACCTGTCAGGCTGATGTACTACAACTTCACAAGAATCTCTGAGAATATTTTACAAGTATGTACATGCAGCATTCATGTCCAACAAAAAATACATCTTTCTTTAGCAGAGGCTAACCTGAACTTTTCTGTTATCTCCAAATACAAGACCTATGCAGAAACCAGTTTCTAATCCCTCTGCTGCGAGATCCACAGTCCACTTGCTAGGCCTCAGTGGGCTGAATCTGACTCATGGACTGCCAGTTGAATAGCACTGTTCAAGACTTATATTATTTAATTCAGAGGTACTGTCTCCACAGTGAAGGTTTGTTTCAGTGTCTTTCATACTTCAGACTGCAGGTTGTTCATATCTTGATGTTATCCTCCTATTTGTATCACTGTCTACCACTTGGTCACTTGTCTTCAACTTTCTCCCCAGGATCGTTTTTATCAGAATGTTGAAATTTTTGCTTCATTCTTGCAGATTTGTGGAAAGATGTCTCATCTTTAGTCACAGGAAGTTAACTGTCCAGAGCTCGACCCACATCTGAAACGATCACCACCATGGATTCCTTATCAGATCGTCTGCACGATCCTCTTCTGTTCCTGAATACAGACAAGAGTGATCTGGATGCCTTTCTCATGAGCACCAGTGCTGACATGGCTAACATGTCGGAGGATATGCATGTGAATGTTTCCGATATAAAAATGGACAACAGTTTAGACCTGGATGGCTTAGAAAGTGGTGGACACCTGGGCGATATGAGCTGGCTTCACAACTCATCCTTGTCTACCTTAGCACACCTGGACAGCGACGATACCTCTGATGGTTCAAACTTAATCTCAGTGAACCCTCAGTCTGTTTATCCCATTCATGTCGTACAGAATCTACGAACACAGCATTTCCTCTCATCTGAAAATGCAAACAGTGCAGCAATCCGACTACACACAAACTGTGGCAATCATCTAAATTCTTCAGAGTCTGCATCCCATTCCACTCAACAACAGGTCCAAGTGTCTACGCCTCAAGCTGTTCTCAGTCAAGATCATCAAACAATCCGTATTATGTCTGTACAGAGCAAGCCGCTCAACTCACCAGCCAAAGCTCACAATTTTCTGATAACTTCATCCAGGGACTCATCGCACAAAGCACCTCAGACTTTCCTTCTTAGCACAGTGGATGGTAGCTTTCCAGCAGGACTTACAATCTCCTCGGCCGACTTGCCTGTTCATTTCACGTCTGCTGGTTCGCATATTGTGTTGTCATCCCCACAGAAGCTTCCCGTTGCAAAAACAGACACTAGTAGTGAGGTTCTTGCCAAATCTGGTCACAGTCTAATTTCCCCATCTCAGGCTTCACCAGTTTTGCTTGGCCGACTTCAGACTGGAGTCCAGCCTCAGGTGCTGTGTTTATCATTGACCAGTCTCTGTTTATCATTTAGCCATCTTTGTGTATCATTGACCCATCTGTGTGTATCAGTGACTTATCTCTGTTCACTGACCCTTCTTTGTGTATTGTCGACCCACCTGTGTGTATCATTGGCCCATGTATGCGTATCATTGACTCATCTCTGTATCATTGACTCATCTCTATATCATCGACCCATCTTTGTATATCATTGACCCATTTTATGTATATCATTGATCCATCTTTAAATATCATACCCCATCTGTGTACATATTTTTTTAGAGTTCTTTCCCTTCTAGGATTGCAGTCAGTAGAATTAACATCTCATAGATCTCCTTTGAAGTCGGAGTGCGTCTGCCTGATGGACAACTAACCCAGTCTGCAAACAACTACTAACACTGTCAACTGTATGCTGACAACAGAGACGCTATCTGGCCTGTTCCAATCACACTTAAGACAAAACTGAATGGTACACAAGAAATATGGACTGCACGATAGTTATCATAAAGGCTACCAGCCTCCTGAAATGTTTTTAGTCAAAAGGATCGAAGAAGAAGATCATCATCTCGTAACACTGCATGTCGTTGGGTCATTAGTTACTTTGACCATCTGACCAGTCCCCTCCACCCTTGGCGGTCAGATGCCATGCACTTCATTGTTGCGTGCCTAGGGCCTGTCCAGTCAGTCAAGTTCTATATCAAGTACTTTCTTGGTTTGCCTCTTCCCCTCTACTAGACAATATAGTGTTGTGTTTGAGAGGCTGTTTGATCTTATTACATATCCGTACGATTGCATTGTCTTTTCACCGAAATTAGAAGAGGTTCATAGTTGCCAGTGTAAACTTCATAAAACAGCTGTGCCACAAAACGGGAACAAGACCAAAGTCTAGAAGTTGACAAACAACCAGAACATTTTGCTGGAGTTTACAGCTGCTGAATTAAGAACATTTCACAGATAGAAAGATAGCAGCCAACAGTCTGCATACCAGTGTCTCTGTAAAATTGATGTGCACACATAACTCATGTTCTGGAACAAGACGAAATTCCAAAAGTGGATGAACAGCCAGAAATAACCACCAAAGTTTACAGCCGGTAATGCAAAGAAATTAAATGAACCAAATAAACAGCTATATTTGGATACCCTGATATGAAGTTACCTGGAGTCCAAGTATCTGCTTTGTGCATCATTCATCCATCTTTGTATATCACTAAATTGTCAGTGTTGGTCAACCTTTTTTTTTTTTGTTTGTTAAAGTTTGGGGGCTGGTTTTTATTTGAGAAATCACTGTTTGTCTACTTTTTAGACTAGAGCACCATAAAGGCCAATACTTTGGTGTGATCCCTTTCCCAGCTTGCCAGTCAACTGTTATACCTTGGTTGATATATTGGTCAGCACTGATACATATATTAGTGACTTATCTCTATATCACTAATCATTTAGCATATATCATTAACCTGTCCATTCGTATACCTATCTAATTTGCATTATATTATCACTGCTTCTAAGTATATCAACTCATCTGAATACCTGATTCATTTGTCTATATAATTGTCACATGCATGTAGATCAGTGGCTTATCTTTTTGTACCATTGAGTCATCTGTATATCAGTGGCTTATCTTTTTGTACCATTGAGTCATATGTACTCAATCCTAGAAATCAGTGACTGATCATCTGTGTGTGTTTTTGACCTTTCTGTGTATCATCAACTGATCCATGCACGCAATCGACTCATTTGTCTTCTTCTTTTGTTCGCTTGAAATAGATTATCTATATCTGCAATGTTGTCTCTAGTATGAGCTTCACTGTCTTTTGTAATTCACTCAGCGACCCGTACAGTTTGACTTGCACCGATGTTTCTCTTGGCCAAAAGTTTTGCCTTGATATGTTGAATCTGGGACAGTCTTGGAGGACCTGAACTCATTTGTATATGCTTCTATGTCATCTTTTTTCAGCTCTTCTGGGTATTTCATCAGTTCATTAGTTTTATTCTGTTTCGTCACCAAACCAGTGTCGAGCAGAGTGTGCTAGCTGTCTACTGAAGGTTGTCAGTGCTTTTTGTTAGTGAGAGAGAAAAAGAGATGTTCTTTCCATCTTGTGCCAAGTTTTGTTTTCTGCGTTTTTAATACATTAACTCACAATTATTAAATTACTGTAATCCGGCAGATTCTTTCAGGGTACTGATTATATCATCTTAGTCCCTAGGTTGGTCTTCTGTTAGTTTGAAGTTTTAAAAAAATATTTAGGTTCAATATCCCTGTAAAGCAAAGTATCCATTTTAATGTCTGGATGCAGATTTGGAGTGTTGTGTGTGACGCTCATACTGTACAGTTGTTAGCAGTATGTTTTGACCAGTTTGATTTCGGTTCAGCATTCATAATTCTCTAGACATTTAGGTGTGGTGGCTACTTTGTAAAATTGTTAGCAGTATTTGATTTCAGTTCAACATTCATACTTCTCTAGACATCTGCCTCAAGTTTTAAACGGGGAATTTTTTTTATGTCTGTTGAGAATATCATTCTTCTTAACTCTAGACTGAAAATTAGCATCAGGTTTTGAAGAGGCATCCAGTGTAAGCCTTGGAGTGTGGTGTGTAGACGTTGGTGTTCACGGCCTCAGATATTCTATCTATCCATCGCTTGCATGGGTGACCTCAAGCTCTGCTTCTGTTGTGGCTAAATGACATGGCTGTATGTGATGCACCGTTTTGTGGTAATATCGACACATGTCCGAACCATTTGATCTGTTGTCTCTTGATGTAGTTTAGTACTGGCTTCATCCTATCTTGTTTCCTGCGGATCAAGTCCCATCATCTTGTTACATTTAGACTTCTCATAATTTTATTTCTTTTTCAATTTGGGGGGGGGGGGGGGAAGGGGAGGGGGTGTTAATTAAAAGTTTTTAAAGGCCAGGCCTGTGTTTGAAAATCAAGTAAATGAAAACAGTACATTAAGACAGCATATAAGTAAAGACAACTATCTTGGAACAGTTATAACATCTGATGCACGTTGCCTAGTGGCCTTAAGTAATATGTAGAAGATTCTACTAAGAAGAAGATAACTGCAGTAAGAAAAGGATGTGAAATTTGCTGTGTAGAACCTTTGTTGTTTTATGCATGTGAAGCATGGACATTTAGCAGACGTGCTGAAAAACATTCGCTCACGGCAGAGATGTGGTTTCTGAGAAGAATGCAAAGAATGTCATGGAAGATTAGTAAAACAAACGAAGCAGTCCTCATCGAGACAGACGAAAGTTGTAAACTTATTGGAACAATTAGACCTAGAGGGCCACTGTTTTTTGGACATGTTAGGAGTGGACTTGGGAACAGCTGGCAAAAATGGTGGAAAGAGAGCAAGAGGAAGGCACAGAGATAAATACCTGGATGGCTTGGCCAGGTGGATGGGGTGTGACAAAAACATTGAACTCATCCAAGATTTTGGTGATCGTGTGAGATGGTGAAACATGAGAGCTTACGCCTTCCTGCATGGCACATGGTGATGGTGGTGTGAAGGCAACTCCAAAATTCTTGAAGAAATTATCTCTATGTTTATAAAAATAGGACTTTTAGGAATGTCTTATGTTACCTTTGTTCTAGATGGCTGTGAGAGAGTTGATATGAGATCAAGAAAGCACTCAATGAGAACATAAATTGACAATATTGAAAACATTATATATTTACCATCCATCGCGTACTGGCCCACGAACTCACAACCCTTAAAAGCAGAAGATGATTTTAATGAATGACTAATTATAGACCGTTATGAAGACTATGACCAAACGTGCAATTCTTCATGTAGTCTGCTTTATGGGTTGGTTTTCATATTTATCCATACATAGCCTTCTGTCTTGTGCAGTTTCAGTCATTTCTGACACAGAAAATCTTCCATGTTATTATGCCAGATTGTCCAACATCTTCCTCTGCTTCTTTTTCCCCTCGAATTTTCCCACTGTCGCAATGTTTTCATTTTATCCATCTCATAATGTTACAGAAATGTAGATTCTGCCCTTCTGATGTGGGTAATCAGTTCTTTTTGTGAGTTAATTTCTTTTAACACATTCAGTTACACATGTTATCTATCCATGGCATTCTCTTCATTTCCCTATTAAATAGCATCAGTGCGGCTTCCACATAATTTAGCACTAGTGGGCTAACTATAGTTGATTCACTTCCATTTGTCAGAATTGGCAGTATATAGCTGTTAAGAACTTTTTTTTTTTACATCAGTCAGTAGCATGTCCTATGCAGAACCGTGCACCCATAACAACCCTCCAGAAAACTTCTCGATCACAGGCAAAATGTCCCGTGTCCGATACACCCATCTAGAGTTCATTTGTCACATTCTGCACCCATTTTCTCTTTGGCCTTCCTCTTTTCCCAGGCATGTATACCCCTCCATTATTGTTCTCTCCAAACTTTTGTGATGTTGAAGTGACCAAAATATTTCACTTTTATGTGTTTTATCATCTTAAATAGCCAACCTTTTTCAGTATTCAGCTCTTGAAGTATTCATGGCTGTCATGGTTTCCTGGCAGGTGTAGCAGAAGGTGGTTTGTCATTGCTTTTCAGTGACTGTACTAGTTGGTGGCCATAGCCATTGCTGTTAATTAAAAAAAATTGCTTAAAATATGTGAAATTCAATGTACTATAAAATAGCAGCTTTGTATTCTGCAATCTGCTAACTTTATTGATCTCCTGTCCCAGATATAAATAAGATAATTTATGGGAGTTCACAAACATTATCTCTACAGATGTGCGAAGGAATGGCAGAGATGATAAGAGCCCAAAAGAAGTGTGTAAGAGCCACATTTTCTTTGCTGAAACATTTCAAGAGATGGATGGAATAATGAACACATAGACCAGCCAGCAGTGTGGGCCAAAACAAATGAATAATAACTAAAACCTGAGGAACCTTCATCAGTAGGGTTTGCTGTATGGAGCAGAAACATGAATATGGAGAAATAAAGCAATTACTATTAAACTACAAATATTCATTAACTGGTGACTGACAGAAGGGATTTATTGGTATGAAAGAATCACTATTGTAGAGCTTTGGGAGAGAACTGAACTAGTTCCAGTGGACCAAGAGGTGAAGAAAAAATGCTGGCGTTGGATAACACATTAAGAAAACCTGAGAACAATATAACTAGAATGTCTTAGCACTGGAACCCACAGGGGCATAGTAGAAAGACCAAAAAACACATGAAGACCCCCTTATGGGTTCCGGGGCCCCATTGTGGGGAAAACAAGAATAGACCCACTGCCTCCACAAAAGCATGTCGTAAGAGTCAACTAATTGGGTAGCTTCCTTTGAAGTCGGAGTGCATTTGTCGGAGAGGCAAGGAACCAACAGTCTGTATTCAAGAGAATGAGATATGTAAAACTGATGCACACGCAACACTCAGGTTCTGGAGCAGGACTGCAGTTTAGTAGTGGACGAGCAACCAGAACCTTCCGCCAGAGTTTACAGTTGGTGAACGCGAAGAAGAAGAAGACATGGAGAAGAGAGCTGTAGAGTGAGTTGGTTGAGGGCTTGTGCTCCATTGAGGGCTAAAAAGGCAGAAGAAGAAAAAGAATGAACCTTCATGGTGTTTAGAAATTAGGAAAAGGTTAAATCTAAAACCAAATTAGAATATTCAACTTTGATGTTAAGTCAGTATTACAGTATGAATCAGATACACAGAAAATAACATTATTGGTTAAACTATAGACATTCTTTTATTGATATCTTTACTGAAAAGGAGAATGACAAAATCACCAAAAGCAAAAGTCATAAAGAGAACTCAATAAATTCTAGTAAACCAAATGCTGAGAAAAAGACACTCATGCTTATGTGCCACATGTGAAAAAAAATATAGTACGGCTGGATCTCTACATGCAGTAGAGAGAACCTAGGCCTGACCAGTGAGTTTTCTGGTGGAAACCAAGATATGTGTGGATTGGTGGAAGGCATGTGTGTCACTACAGCCTTCATAGAAGCTCAGTGGGGAGAGAGAAATAAGTGTAACTATACAGACTTTTCTTTGGAGCCCACAGTGTAAGTGAAATAGGAGTTTTAAGAGCAGGACACCAGAAATGATAAAAAGCATTCCTTTAGTTAATTTAGGGCCTGTACTCCATTAAGAGATTTCATGAACATGCACACACATAAGCCATAAATATGAAAGACAATTAACTCTGATGTACTTAACAGCCTAGGATAGAAGAGGAATGGCATAATGTCCTATCTGATTTCTACAGTTTCGCTGTTATGTGTGCAGATGCAGTATTACAACAAGATAGATTTGGGGAGTTACAAAAAAGGTGCATTTGTTTGAGATACAAGAAGCTAGACTTGTTTCGCTGTTATGTGTGCATATGCAGTAGTACAACAAGATAGATTTGGGGAGTAACAAAAAAGGTGCATTTGTTTGAGATACAAGAAGCTAGACTTGCTCATGGTACAAGAAGATAGATGATGTTGAAGTACGGAAGCTAGAAAATGTGATCATCAATTTTTTTTTGCTTGTTCACTAAACAAAAAGGTATAACTGTGACCTTTAACCCCTGTTGAAGGAGACTAAAAAAAGAGACCCATAAAATATTTTGGCTACTTGGAAAGAAATAACACTCTTTAAAAAAACTATATTACTGGAGGGGAAAGTTGTATGCAAGCATGCATGATGCAGCCACAATACAAACGAAGAGATAACATCAAGAAATGGAAACAGCGGTCAGAGAGAGTATATTCAGGGCTAAAGACAGGGCATGTTAGAAAACTATTGCAGCCAACATTCACTGGGGAGAAAGCGTCTGGGTGGTTGATTCATGTTCTTCAGAGTATTTTTCGACAGTGGCATCTCTAAAAGATCACCATTCTGCCTGCAGACGCAACAGTTATTATGCTCAAATACAGGTTCAAGAATTGTTTCAATAAGATTATGAATTGTTACATTAAGTTTATGAATTGTTACAATAAGTTTATGAATTGTTACAAGAAGATAATGAATTGTTACAAATACCAATTTCCAGTGTTGTGACTCATCATCCCCGTGATGTGAAATATCCAAGGAAGTAGAAAATGGTCGGTCTGATATTGACCACTTTAAGCAAAATAAAATCATCATCACCAACTTCAGGTGCATTGCTGGCTGGCTTGCGCATTCATACCCTCCAACAACACGTGTCAGTTCATGTGCTGACACCCCTCAGTGCCATGACACAAGGCTGTCAAGAATCTACACGCGTTGTCTTACTCAGTTTCTTTGTGTTTTTTTATGCCACAAATCTTTCAAGTGGTCCAGCATGTTTCCAGTTTCCTTTTTCTAAAAAGAAAAAAAAAAGTTTTTGATGTGTGTCTGTGATGAGTTGTCTTCGACAATCTCTCACCTATTTTGTAACATCTAGATTGCTGTCTCTCTCTCTCTCTTTTTTTAAATACTGTGCTGCTTCTTACATTGTAATGTTTCATTTCTTCAGGTATACCAAAAAGTTGGTATAAAACCCACGGTGGCGTCCTCAACTGTACAGCTCCAGCAGTCGGAGTTGACCACAGTGAGCTCAACAACCAACAACGAGGAGAAAGTCTACCCCAAACCTGTCTTCTCTTACAGCTGCCTGATAGCACTAGCATTGAAGAACAGTAAAAATGGGAGCTTGCCTGTCAGTGAGATTTATAGTTTTATGTGGTGAGTTTGATACTGTGGTGTTTTATACTGTTGTGTGTGGTGAGTTTTATTGTGTGTTTGGTGAGTTGTACACTGTTATATGTGATGAGTTTATACTGTTGTGTGTGGTGAGTTTTTTGCTTTTGTGTGGTGAGTTTTATACTGTTGTGTTTAGTGAGTTTTACACTGTTGTGGTGAGTTTTATGCTGGTGTATGGTGAGTTTTATACTGTTTTGTGTGATGAGTTTTATTTTCTGCCATATAAGGTATTTTTTATTATGTGTGGTGGTGGTGAGTTTTATTCTGTTTCATATGCTTTTTTATGCTTCTTCTTCTTTCGTTTGCCTGAAATAGGTTGTCTATATCAGCAATTTTGTCTCTTGTATAAATTTCACTGTTGTTGTTAATTCATTCAGTGGTCCATAGAGTTTACGTTCCACTGTTGTTCTTTCTGGCCAAAAGGTTTGCCTTAATGTGTCAAATTCGGTGCAGTCCTGGAGTACATGCTCTGCGGTCTGGGGCACATTTCCACAGGTGCACATGGCTGATACGCCTATCTTGAATTTTGTGTATATGTGGTTAGGTAATCGGTTGTGTCCTGTTCTGAGGCGGAGGATAATGACTTGTTCTGATCTGTCCATAATAAAATAGTCGTCTTGTGCTGGGACTGGTGGTTTCCTGATTGATTTAATGATTCTTTTCTTTTGGTGGTATGTGACTGGTACATCCGGCTGCACTTTTGTCGCACCTTCTCCTGCCAGTTGATCAGCTTTCTCATTTCCAAGCACTCCACAATGTGATGGTATCCACTGCATTACAACTCTTCGCTGAAGGCTAAGTTGTGTCAGCTGTGTTTGCAATTCTGGTAGTTTCCTAGACTGGAGTGCTTCAAGTACGGATTCAGCATCTGTCAGCATTACCACATACTGTGAGCCAAGATCGGTATTTAGCAGTTTCTCTGTTGCTATCTTGATAGCCTGAGTTTTTGCATCATAGTTATGGCAGTCCTTTTTTTTCTATGGACTTATCCCTAGTACCATCTGGGAATTCTATGTACCCTCCAGCACCACCATTTCTAACCGCACTTTCTGCGGACCCTATTTTATGCTGTTATGTGGTGAGTTTTATTCTGTTATGACATTTGATACCGTTATATGTGGTTAGTTTTATATTGTTATGAATGGTGTTTTATTCGTCTGTATATGGTATTTAATACTGTTATGTGTGTTTTGAGTTTTTTCTGTTATATATGGTATTTGATACCGTTATATGTGGGTACTGATATTCTCTTACATGTGGTGATTTATATACTGTTATAAGTGATGATTTGTATACTGTTATATATGGTGATGTTTATTGTGTTGCATGTGTTGATGGTAATACTGTTATGTGCTTGAACAAGCATGCAAGTCTAAAAAGTGAGCAATTTAGGGGTTGCTGATAAAGTTTATACTGGTCCTTGAAGTGCAGATATCACAGCCTCATTGTAGACCACAACAGTTTGAAAACTTCCTTAAGGACAGACACAGAAGAAGAAGAATATATTCATAATGAGACTTAATTTGTAAAATTTTTGCCTGTGATGAGTTTTATATTTTTGTCATGTTCTAGTTTTATTTAATAAGTTGTGAAAATCACACCCCTGTCTTAAACCCAAAAATTTACCCCCACCCCCTCAAGCCACCAGCCGCGGAAAGTCAGCACTAGTATATCTAGGGTTCTGAAACATGTTTAATATCCTTCAAGTAACTGAACTGTGTGATCTTGAAGATTTGCATATGCAAGCTTCCAGATTTTGACCTAGTTTTCAAATAGGACACCGAAAGACATTTGTGTATTTCCCATGGCATATGATAAAGCAGTTATAGGGTGACCCATCTGCAGTTACGATGGAACCTTAGTTAACGAACTTGAAGACAGCAGCACAGAGGGTCGTTAATATGTTTATTTCGGTTTTTTTCCCCCGAAACAGTGAGAATTTTCCATATTTCAAGACAGCTCCTGATGGCTGGAAGGTCAGTGACTTTGTATATTTTTCTTCTTTGTGTCCATCAGCTGTAAACTTTGGCAGAAAGTCCTAGTAATTTATCTACTTCTAGACTGATCTCTTATTTCATGACTTGAGTTTTGTGTGCAAATCTGTTTTACAGATGTGGCTTTTTTTTTGTATGCAGACGTTTTGTTCCTTGCCCCTCAGGCTGATGCAGTCTGACTTCTATGAAAATGTCAACCCTGTGCGCACTATTCAGGACTCCGGTCAACAACCTGTTTCTAGGATGACCACAGATACATAAAAATAGGTCTTGACCTATGCTACACCTCTAGGTGTGGCTCTGTATCCCTGTTTAATTACTGTAGTAATTAGAGATTTATGGTTAAGCACCAGCAAGGAGATGAAAATTAGAATTTTGAGAGCATGCATCTTCCTTGTGACTACATAAGGATGTGAGTCGTGGACTATCTCTTAGTCCTTAAGACAGAGAATAGGGGCTTTTGAGCTGAAATGCTATAGAAAGATTCTCAGAATATCTTGGACAAATAAGTGGAGAAATACTGACATCTTGAAGGATCTGAACATCAAGGAAGATTGGCTAATAAACAGCATCCTTCCTCGGAAGCTGAAATTTTTGGTCATATCAAGCGCCACGATGGATTGGAAAAAATTATAGCAGAAGGCATTGTACCAGGAAGAAGGGGCAGGGGCCGACCGACACGAAGATGGGCACAGGATGTAAGTGGCTCCTTGAGTATGAAAGTACATGAGGCGGGAGAACTGGCGAAAGACCGAGTTTCTTTCAGGCAGACTGTGATGAGAGTGATGTTTTACAAAGGACCTGCTACGTGATGATGATGAGTAATTAGAAAAGTGCCTGGGGGTTCGTAGGGAAAGCCAATGAAAAATCTTAAGTGCAAGACAGCCTAGCATACGACATCACAACATCTAGCATGCAAATGGAGGTGGAGGTGGTAACTGCAGCTCCCCGGTGGCTAGAGAACAAGATGCATACATATGTCGTAATTGTAGACTCTGAAAGCATGCTGAAAAAGACGAAGTCAGGAATGCTTCGAGTGGCAGGCTTCACTGGGAAGGTTAGCATACTTTGGATCTTTTCTTTAGGCCATACTTGCATTGTGGGTAACGTACAGGCAGACAGATTAGCTGGATCTGCACCACTGGGTGGTGAATTAATACGTGGCAAGGCAGATGTGATCAAGGCCCTTTGCGAACAAGCAACGGAATCAGTAGAGAAACAAGATTATTATGGCCTGGAGAGAATAAAGCACCTGGGTGTAACCAGAGAGTCTGACCGGCTCACTACACTCAGAGGAAAGGCAAGACGGACATGTAACCAGATTGTGACGGGTACCATCCGGATGGGACTTTGCGCTGGCTGCTGAAAATGAGGACGGAGCACACATGGGAATGCCCCAAGTGCTGTGATGTCAATTCTAGACTCAACCCAACTCAATTACTGTAAATTGTGGCGTAGAACTACTCGACCTGGTGTTAAAGTTGACCTCAAGATTTCATGCACAGAATTCTGAGTTAGGCCTAAATCTACCTAACGCTTTTGTATGTTTGTTTTAGCTTGGTAATAATTTTTCCATTATAAATACTTATAAATATATATGTGTGTGTGTGTGTGTGTGTACATAGACAGCTATCTCTCTCCCCCCCCCCCCCCCCCCTCTTCCCCAACCAATTTTTTTTTCTTTTTTTTTAAATTTAGTCTACCTGCGGTCTACTAACTCATCTGTGATGATTTACACAAACAGTTGTGTGAGTAACCAATCAGTTAGCGATCAGAATCATCTCCTAATATTCTGCTTTAAGAATGGTTTGTGTATATATGTATGGTTTCATTTATCTTTGCTTATGTGTACTTCTGACCTCATCTTATGGCTACAAAAGCCAAAGCTAATGGAACACTTGTACAGGAGTGGCGCGGTGATTTATGTCACAGGCGTGAGGGGAAGTTAAGTCCAACATGATGTGTATAAGGAGATACTCCGTACGTCACTCGGGCGCCAGTCCTTCACTATCCTGGTTGTACGGAACCTCACGCAAGACCCCTACAGCACGTCCTCGTCGTGCGCCACGGATAATGTCTCAAATGAGCATTAACAGAGCTGTCAGGGGATCTCGGAGTTCGGCGGCCCCCAGAGGTGATGTGTCCTTGTGGCCCTCATCAGCCCGCTCCCAAACGCTTGGGTGAAAAATGTTATCAAAACTCATTAGGAACATGAGTAGGTTTGCCAAACGTACAGCCAAAATTACAACCCTTGGTTAAAAGACTGCGAAATAAAGAGAACATTGTTCACTGCACATCCTTTGTTAACCCTCAGTGTTGTCGTCACCGCGCTGAGGTACACCACAACAGCAACCATCCATAGGCTGACCATCCTTGTACATCCTCGGTTAACCCTTAGTGTCGTCGTCACTGCACTGAGGTACACCACAACAGCAACCATCCATAGGCTGGCCATTCATGTACATCCTCGGTTAACCCTCAGTGTCGTCATCACCGCGCTGAGGTACACCACAACAGCAACCATCCATCGGATGGCTAAGCCTAAATGTCCGACAAAACTAGATTATACAGATCAAAATTTGTATTGAACTGAAAAAGACTGATGTCCACACCCAAAGACCCCACTCGCCCGAGTGTTGGGACAAAACTGATAACGCTTTGCCTGATGCAGGATGTAAAATTCTGTCGGGCTAACGGCTCGTCAAAGAAATCTAACGTGCGAAGAAAAAAGAATGTACCTATCCGTGTGGTCACAAAAGTCCAAAACCCACGGGCTGCTCCCCGCTGACTTCCAGAGGGCGCAGCCCCTGTCGAGCGGGAGGCCTGATACGGTTGTGAGGTTAAGCAGGCATGTGCAGGACGTGACGATTCCTTGGGTGAGCCCAGAACCAGAGCGCCATGTGCCGGCTCTGCATGCGTGGAAGCCTCCTTGGATGGCGGGGAATGCCCATGATCTGCCCCTGCCTTCCCTTGAGGGCTAACTGTTCCACAGGGGGCTGCCCCAAAGGGGTACTCCGGGGGCAAAACCTGCGGCGAAGGAGACAAAGTGGACACCACACAAATCAGGCAACGTCCCGACCCACACAAAACAATGGCCACAGTCACCCTAGAAATAGGCTTGACGTCTTCCTTCGAAGTCGGAGTACAGCTGCCCATGAGGCAGGGAAATGAAAAACGGTTGTACACGCAAAAATCAGGTCCAGGTGAAAGCCAAAAGTCCAAGCGGACGATTAACCTGGACCTTCCACTGGAATTCACAGCCGGTGATCGATATAAAAAAAATAAAAATACTTGTACAGGACAAGGTGGATATTCTGAAGACCATATATGAACTACTGTTGACAGAAGACATGAGATTAGATGAAATTAAGTGTGGATCCAGGGACGGAAGAGAGGAAGCGAATGACATATGTATAATCAGTGTGCTACGGGAACAGTTAGCATCTACATCTTTAGATATTTGTTACGGGAGATGGAGCATCTAAGGGTATGTCCGGTGTTCTATGATGTTGATTCTTAAAGCAGTGAAAATTAGAGCTGTACCGAATAGTGAATATCACTATTCTGCTGAATACGAATAACGGAACCAACTATTCGGCTGAATACTAGTGTGTAGCGTATAAAATAGATCTTTAAAAAAAACATTTATAATTTCGAATGTATACTGAACTTTTACTTCACAAAATCTGGTACATTTAAACATTTAAAAACATATTTTTTGCATCCTTCGGTCAGTCTGCGGTAACTAATAACTAGGAATGAAAGTAGTCTAAGTATTGTAACAATTAATTCGCAGTGGCTGCAGCAGCTGCCGTGTATTCAAAAGCGGGTGTAATGTAACCACTATTCGTATTCGGCCCAGCCGCAACTATTCGGCTGAATACTTATTAGGTCCACTATTCGGCCCCGAAGCGAATACGAAGCGAATGTTCGGTACAGCTCTAGTAAAAATCAGTAAATCAGTGCTTGTGTGTCCAAAAAGAAAAGTCTGTTGTCTGGTTATTCTTAGGTAATGTTCCCTAATATAATTGTGTGTGTGGCTAGTGTCTGAATCATCTTTGATTATCTTCTCCATCAGAACTCTGTGCGTCACAATTTGTCCCTCAACAAATGCTTTGCCAAAGTTGATAACCCCAAGCTGACCCAAGGAGCAAAGAAAGGTTGCTTGTGGGCATTGAACCCCACAAAGGTTACCAAAATGGATGACGAAATCAGTAAATGGAGCAAGAAGGATCCTGTGGGACTGCTTACTAGCATGGCATATCCTGGTATGTCTGTTTTTGATTATCATTAAAAAAATTTTTTTTTTTTTTGGGGGGGGGGGGGGGGGGAATTTTAAATAAATAAAATTAACGTCAGCAGAACAAAAAAGGCGGAGGAATAATCTTCTTCTTGTGATCAAATCTTAGGTTCTCACTAATTGGTTCCAGGCGCCATTTTGAGGGTGGGAGGGGGGGGGGGGGGGGGGGTAGACCCACTGATTTCCTAACAAACATGTTGTGCAGGGCAACTAATTAAGGAACCTTCCTTTGAAGTCAGAGTGTGTCTGCCTGAGACGCAAGGAAGTAAAATTGTCTATACAAAAAAGACAGATCTATCAAATGGGTGTACACGCGAGACTCAAGTTCCGGAACAAGACACCAGTCCAGAGATAGAAGAAAAACTCAAACTTTCTGTCTGAGTTTACAGGCGGTGAATGCTAAGAAGACAGAAAAAACATAGACAAGTTTTTGTGATGAAATTGACCATTTGCGGAGCTCTTCTTTATTTTCGTGCAATTTTTGAAGATGGTGTTGACTCACTGGGCCAGTATTTCCTTCTGATGGCAAACGAATTAGAACTTCATTTGCATAACATTTTCAGATTTCCCCACAAGTTGTAATTTGCCACGCCCTAAAGTCCATCTGTGTCGGCAGTTCTCAGCCTGTGGGTCGTGACCACTTTGGGGGTTGAACAACCATTTCACAAGGGTTGCCTAAGATGTTCGGAAAACACAGATTCACTGAAGTTATGAAGTAGCAACGAAACTAATTTTATGTTGGGGGTCACTAGAACTTGAGGAACTGCATTGAAGGGTCGTGGCATTAGGGAGGCTGAAAGCTACTGATCTTTATGGCTAAAATCATTCATGATGCAGTAGGTCCTTTTTTAGGGTTCATGGCGTATTTTAATTCTACCTGAATGGGCTGTACACGGGATGGTGTTGTTGAACAGGTTCTGTGATTTGTACACCCAGCCTACATGGGCACAGTGGTGAACTACTGAGGCAAAACCTGTGCAGATGCTTGTTCAGTTTGTTATACCCTATCTTGAGAGAGATAGAAAGATGGTGTCTATGCTGGCCATGTATGTGATAGTCATCGTTGGTCTGGTCTTCTTTTTCACCTCTGTAAACTCCAGCCAAAAGTTATGGTTGTTCGTTTGCCTCCGGACTGTGTTCCAGAAAGTGAGTTTTGTGAGCACATCCAGTTTACAGATCTAGCTTATTTGCATGCGGACTGTTGGTTTCTTACCTCTCAGGCAGAGGCACTCTTGACTTCAAAGGAATCTCTCAATTAGTCGATTCATACAACATGCCTTTTAGGGAAGCAGTGGGTCTCTCTTGTTTTCCCCACAATGGGGCCCAGAAACCCACATGTTCATATTCTCCCCATTTCTTAGCAAGTTTTACCAGTTTCATTTTTTGTTCGGGGAGTCAGAAAATTTAGGTGTTTATCATTTGGTTTAGGCTGATTTTAAAATCAGTGGGCATACCGTTAGATGCACCGTCTCCCACAGCAGATGCTTAAGGTGTAAATTCTAACAACCTTTGCATTCTGATTGTACACACATCAATTACATCTTCAGGTCACTATTAGCATTTCAAAGATTTACTTATGGACATAAAATTATTTGTGGTTAAACATGTGTTGAGATGTAAATAGGGATGTCATCATCATCATAAACCACTTTTGCCGTTGAGCGTCATGGGGAGGAATAATTTGCGATCCAGTGGTCATTGGCTGCCAATGGCTATTGTCATGCCGTGAAGGCGTAGAGTGTCTTTAATGTTGTTGATTCATTTTTTCTGCGGCCGTCCTCTTGCTCTTGTAGCTGATCTTCTGAGATGTAGTGTTTGTGATGGTATTTGATCTTGCTGCATTCTAATGAGAGATGGCAAAACCACTTGATCTGTTGTTTCTCTATGAATCTAGTAATAATAATAATAATAATAATGGCATCCGTCAGTCCCGGGGGACTATGGAGATGTGCCGCTGGCTTTGGGAACAGCATCTGCTGTGACTGTAAAGTCCGGTGCGGGAATGGCAGCCTTTGCCACACAGGATACACACAAAAGCAGATACTCCCTCGTTGTGAGGCAGTTTTACTCTCTTGTGTCTCCTCTCCACAGCTCGTTGTGTTCGGTTTCTTTCAAAATGTGACAGTCCGTCTTTCACTTTCTGTCTCCATAGTAGTCGATCTGCAGCTGATTTTTCCCATGTCTCTGTGCCTATGTTGGTATCTGTTAGGTCACGTTTGCATACATCTTTATAGCGCAGCTTTGGCCTTCCTGTAGGTCTATACCAATTCACCATATAGGAGATGTTTTGGAATACGACCATCCTCCATGCGGGAGACATGTCCCAGCCAGCGCAGACGTCTTTGCTTCAGTATACAATACATTGATGGTATTTTTGCTCTTGTGAGCACACATTCATTGGAGACAAGGTCTCGCCATAATATACCAAGGATGCGTCTCAAACAGCGCATTTGGAAGGTATTCAGTCTTTTTTTCTTGTGGAGCATAGAGAGTCCAGGATTCGCAGCTGTACAGTAATGTGCTCAGGACACAAGACTCATAAACCTTCATTTTTGTATTTTCAGTTAGCTTTTTGTTTGACCAGACTCTCTTTGTGAGATTTGCAAACATAGCAGAGGCCTTTCCTATACGTTTGTTTAGTTCTGTATCCAGAGAATGATTGCCTGAGATACATGAGCCTAGGTACTCATTTACAGCCAGCAGCTGATGGTCATACACACTAATGTTTGGTGGATTTCCAACATTCAGTCCCATCACTTGTTTTGTTCAGACTGATGGTAAGCCCAAATTCTTTGCAAGCATTTGCAAAGCAATTCATCAGGATCTGCAGATCATCCTCTGAATGTGCCACAATGGCTGCATCATCCGCAAACAGAAAATCCCTGAGGCATCTCGTGTGCACCTTTGTCCTTGCACGAAGCCTGGACAGATTAAAAAGATTGCCATCTGACCTCGAACGGAGGTATATCTCCTCAGTTGCTGTCCCAAATGCACACCTCAATAATGCGGTAAAAAAGATGCCAAACAGCGTGGGAGCCAGAACACATCCTTGCTTTACTCCATTTCGAATCTGGAAGGGTCGAGATGATGAATCCTCATATAGTATGGTCCCCCTCATATTCTCATGAAAGGATTTGATTAGGCTCAGTAGTATAGGTGGGCATCCATATTTTTCAAGGATCCCGAATAGACCATTTCTGCTGACATAGTCAAAGGCCTTAGTGAGATCTATGAAAGCAATGAGCAGTGGCCTCTGTTGCTCTCTGCACTTCTCTTGTAGCTGCCTGATGGAGAAGATCATATCAACTGTTGATCTCTGGGCCCTAAACCCACACTGTGATTCCGGGTATACTCTGTCCGCTAGAATTTGCAACCTCTTTAGGTTAACACGAGCAAAGACTTTTCCCACATAATTCAATAGAGAGATACCGCGATAGTTGTTGCAGTCGCTTCTATCTCCCTTATTTTTATAGAGAGTTATAATGTTGGCATCTCTCATATCCTGTGGCACCGATTTTTCTTGCCAACACTGACAGAGGATCTTGTGTAGCTCAGGAAGAATAGCATCCTTGGAGCATTTTAGGATCTCAGGTGGGATACCATCCTCTCCTGGGGCCTTCCCTGAAGGAAGTCCATCTACTGCCTCACCGATTTCTGTGACGGAGGGTTCCTTGTCTAGTTTACCCATGGTTGACAAACATTCCATTGCATTTAAGGCCTCTTCACATACAAAGGTGCTTGTAGCATATAGCTCTGAGTAGTGCTCCACCCATCGGTCCAGCTGCTTTGTCCGATCCTTTATGATTTCGCCCGTGGTTGATTTGAGAGGGGCAATCTTTCTTTTTACTGGCCCAATAGCCTTCTTGATGCCAGCATACATTTCCCCTTATGTTGCCAGTAGCTGCTGAGGTTTGTATCCTCTCACAAAGTTTGATCCAGTAATCATTAGCGCAGCGCCGTGCAGTTTTCTGGACTCTAGACCGAATGGACCTGAGCACATGCAGATTTCTGATATTCGGCTGGATTTTGTATCCCAATAAAGCCTTGTTCTTCTCCTCTATTATTGGCAAAGACTTATAACCGGTGACTGCTGTTTCCCGTGTTGTGTCGAAACTGTTAAGCATCGCTGGAGTGACCTCTCCAGGGCACAGGCCAGGGCGTTTTGATTTGGAGTACAGACTGTTGCCCAGGCAGCAAGTACCCCCTCTCTACGTCACCGGTGAAACCAAGGGAAAGGCAAAAACCAGTACAACTTGGCACCGAGGACGTTGCAGGAATTGCCGGAATAGCACTGTATACAATGCTAAACCGCCTTAGGGATTCCAGCTCCCAATTTTTCCTCAGGGTTTACTCCCGAAGCGCTTTCCCAAAAATGGGTATGGCCACAAGGCAGTGGAGGTGTGTAGTCAGAGTTTACCTTCTCCTAGATGAGCTGCACTCCCGTGCTTTGCGAGCCTCATCTACCCGTGGTTTGAAATCAGAGTTTTCCTTCTTCTGGATGAGCTGCACATAAATCTAGTACAAGGTGTCATTCCCACAGTTTGCCCGATAGTTTCATTATTCACTCATTTGAGATGGTTAGGTAGGCTGCTTTTCTCAGGCACCTTATCTCGCAGGTGGTGATTTTGCGTATACGGGCTTTAGATAGTGTCCATGTTTGGCACTGGTAGCTTAATGTTGGAATGAATATGCTGTTAATAATCTGTCTCTTTGCACTTATAGATATGCTTCGATATCTTAATAATGGCGACAGTTGGTATATAAGTGCACTTGCTTTCTGACATCTGATTTCAATTTCTCTGTCAATTCTACCATCTTCTGTGATCATATTTCCTAGATATTTAAACTCCCTAACTTGATTCAGAGCAAAACAATTCTACTGTATGTTTAGTGGGGCAGAAGTTCTACTAACTTGCATTGTTATAGGGAGTAATCAGTAAATATAAACAGAGTGAAGCATTAAATGTAATACATTCTCCAGTCAGTATCAAGTGACCCATGCTGTGACCTCTATCAGTGAGGCTTAGAGGAGAAATGGTTTGAAGTGAAAACTCCCGGGAGTGCTATTTTTAGGTAATATATTCACATCCAGATCTCATAAATGTTTGGGCAGGCTCAACCTCTGTCAATAGCATTAACTATATGTCTTGTAAACAGATCACTGCAGAGAAGTCGGAAAAGTTACATTTATGGGGAATTATCCCCAAACCGGAAGCGTAAGTTTTGTGGCTTTTTTGGGGAGACAGGGTTAACAAGCATGTAGTAAAAGACATTCGGATGTCACAGCCTAGCTGTAAATAACACAACATGCCAACCACCCTGTTAAAGTCAAGCAAAGATGAATAAAAATTGCTTTAACTACGATGTATTGAAAAAAAAAGTAAGTAAAGAACCCTTTTCCACGCCTTAGGCGTATAGGGCATATAGGGCTAGACCTATATTTTGTAGACCAATGGCACAAGGTGGGTAGTGTAGTCAGTATCATGCCGGCCGCCTTCACTTTCCTGGGTTTGCACCCGGTACCCACTCAAGGCTGGGTCGACCTGGGAGCCATGGTCATTTTTGAAAAAAGTCCGGCTCCACTAGGGAGTGAACCCACGACCTTCTGATCCGTGGCGAACGTCTATCCGCTCGGCCACGGCGACTCCCACTACGATGTATTAAACATTTAAATTCTATAGCTATTCGAATAAATATGCATAATAAGTATTATTGTATTCTTCTGTCAGAGAACCTGGAAGCCATAGAAAAAGGACAGGCTGGCCTTCATTATTCCAAGAAAAAATCTCCAGACAGTACGCCGTGCACACCAATCAAAACTGAGCCTTTTAAAACGGAGTTCACCTTGGACCAGAAGCCAGAGTTTTCCCAGATTCGATTAGAGAAACACAACTCCAACATTCCATTTGAGAAAGTTGAGCTGAAACATCCTGTCAAGGTTGAGCCTCTGGAGCTAGAGTACTCTCTGAACCAGCGGGGTAACTCACCGGTTATAAAACAAGAGTTACCTTCCCCATCTCCTAAAGATTATGCCATTTTTAAAATTGAACCTAGCGACTACAGCTGCTCGGACATTCCCGTGTCTTTCAGCAACGATGCTCTCACAGACATTGTTCTACAGGTACTAACTTATTTTTCTGTTGTTTGTTGTCCATTTTTATGTTTTTTTGTAGTTTCAGCTTCAAGGTAATTCAAACGTGTCATCACATCATTGAAATCGTATCAAACGAAATACGCTCTGGGCCTCATTTTTATGTTTTTTATAGTTTCAGCTTCAAGGTAATTAAAACTTGTCATCACATCATTGAAATCGTATCAAACGAAATACGCTCTGGGCCTCATTTTTTGAAAAAGTGGGTCGGGAATAGAGGCAGTAGGAGAGCAAGATTATAGCATCCTGGCATTGAGCTGCGGTTTCCAACCCTTTTCTAGCCACGACCCCATTTTAAAGACGCAATATTTACTTATGACTCCATTCATGAAAAATAGGCTTTTTAATGAGTTGACTGAATACATTGTAAATACAAAAATAGTTTTTTTCTCTGTGCAGGACATCTTCTTCTTCTTCTTTGCGTTCACCAGCTGTACACTCTGGTGTAAAGTTCTGGTTGTTCGTCCACTTCTGGACTGCAGTCCTGCTCCAGAACCTGAGTGTTGCGTGTGCATCAGTTTTACAGATCTGATTCAATTGAATGGAGACTGCTGGTTCCTTGCCTCTCAGGCAGATGCACTCCGACTTCAAAGGAAGCTCCCCAGTTAGTCGACTCTTACGACATGCTTTTGGGGAGGCAGTGGGTCTATTCTTGTTTTTCCCACAATAGGGCCCCGGAACCCACACGGGAGTGTGCAGGACATGAAAATGCAGTTTGTCTCTATTTTTTAATTGTAACAAATCTTATAGCTTACTATTGACCGACGACCCTACAGAAGGTCCTTTGCGACCTATATGGGGTCATAACCAGTGGTTGGTAGCCCGAGGCTTAGAGGAATGTCTCAATCAGAGATGATTAAAAGTATATGACACAGATTTTTGGGGATAGACTTGTCGACTAACATCCAGCGGCATGCACTATACGACAATATGTTTCCTATATTTATTCTAGCTTCGTACAGTGGATTGTTTCTGAGTTGATTTTTACAATGGTATGCAAAGCCGACCGTTCAGAAAGCAGTGGCAAACTACTAAACGTAAAATTTGCCAGAAAAGCCACATACAGCCAACAAATGTTGGGGTTGATCTGTAATGTCCCGTAGAGAATACACAACTATGTTTTATTCAGTGCACTGAGCTCCATTTTCCTAGATTTTTGTAGCTGTTTCATAAATCTCACTGTACCGTATTGTCATATATTTATGTAGTTGATTCTTACTTTCGCATAGTACCCATTTTGATATTTATATAGCTGTTTCATAAACCTCTCACTGTACCCCATTTTCATAAGTTTGTATATTTTCATAAACCTCACCGCACCCCATTTTCATAGATTTGTATAACTGTATCACAAACCTCACTGTATCCCATTTTCATAGATTTGTATAGCTGTGCCATAAACCTCACTGTATCCCATTTTCATAGATTTGTATAACTGTATCACAAACCTCACTGTATCCCATTTTCATAGATTTGTATAACTGTGCCATAAACCTCACTGTATCCCATTTTCATAGATTTGAACAGTTTCATAAACCTCACTGTAACCCATTTTCATAGATTTAGATAGCTGATTCATGCATCCCATGGTGTCCCATTTGTATATATTTATTTAATGATTTAATATATGCTTACTGTGCTCCATTATCACACATTCTGTTTTTAATTTTGGCGTGCATGCGTGTGTGGCAAAGAGAGAGAGAGATTCATACATACATATGTCTATTCCTCATAGAATTCGGTGTGGGATGATGACCTGGAAAACAACATAGACATTGATCTCATCTGTGATTCGTCATCTTCCCATCTTCCATCTCCTACGACCAGCTCCCCTGTGATGTTTCGCTCGTCACCGAACCCGTCATTGCCACGCAGCTTAAGTAGCATGAAACCTGCATAGGTTGTCCTCCGTAAGGTAAATACCTGGTCTTCTTCTATCCGTGTAACTTAATCTCATAAGTTTTTTTTTTTTAACTTCTCCAAATTTCATTTTGTCTGAACGATTTATTTTATATTTTATTCTGAATTTTAACATGACATTTGATCCAGAATGGTGGATAATTGGCCCATCCAATATAGCCCTGGAGTATTATTTGCTTCTGGCAATGGTTTACTCTCAAGGTTTCCTCATATATGGACTTTGGATGTAATGGTTTCAATGCCCAGCTAAAAGTTTGAATGAATGTTATAACTTGGTGAACTGTGAATTTCGCATGGACAGCATTTCATCCGTGCCCCAGGTTGTCTGTGTTGTGAACTTTATGTTTAGAAAATGGTTTAAGGTTTGAACAACAGATCAACATCATAGCACACGGGTAGTAACCCATAAGTGCTCAGTTTTTCTTCTAACTCAAGTCTGAGTTTAAAGAAGCACAGCACAGTGCACAGGCTCTGTAGCTCTGGCGAGGGTCCTGAAATACTATGGTAGATTTTTAACTCCAAATTTTTGCCCAGGCAGCGCCATTAGGCTACTCTTTTCAATTTCCAACTGCCAAGAGATTTGTTACGTGCACAACAATGCACACGGGCGTCTGATCTCACTACCCAGAGACCAGGGAGTTATTACTAGATGTCCAAGTCCACGTGAAAAAATCCCAGCCTTTACCGGGGATTGAACCCGGAACCTCTAGCACTCGAGGCGGACACAATGCCCCGAGACCACTCAGCCTCTTTAAAAATACAGGTGGCTGATTGCCACTGGTTGTTTGCCTTGTGGTGTCCATGCTAGTTTAGCAGCGCTGCTTCTGTCGATGCTAAACTACAGTAATATTGACAGACTATTGATGTTTATATCTCTTGCTGCCTTATGCATGCTGTTGGTTGTGTTGCTTCCTGTTAAACATTTCACACAGTACAATGCTGGGCGTTTTGTTTGGTGTTTGTTGGAACAGGAACACAGCAGTTATGGGATGTCATGCTATGTATCTCACTCATGCAAACTGCAGGGTACATATCGCGATAAGAGATCCAACAATGAGAGTGACCTCCCGCCCCATTGATGCCTCGATCTGGTGTAGCACTTCTACTATGTCGGAGGGGTTTCAGACATAGCCGGTCATATTTTACTCCTTGCTGTCAGCGGCCAGCGATATTGCTTTTTCTATGCTGTGAGCGCTTTAAACGGTCCCAAAACATGAACAACTGGGCCTAACCCCAACTTCACAGCCTCAGTCTATATCTCATGACTGTATGCAGCCTCTATTATACTCTGCAATAATAAACATGAGGTGATCTTCTTCATCGCAAGAGGTTTTCTGCCAAATAGCTCAGTCTGTCCGCAGAAGACCGCCTCCCTTAGCAAGCATGCCGTACAGGGTAACTGACTAATTAAGGGAGTTTCCTTCGAAGTCAGACTGTATCTGCCTGTTAGGGTGTGGAACCAACAGTCTGCATAGAGATAAGCCCGATCTGTAGAACACCATGTTATAGTGGCTAGACACTCACCTGCAGATCAAAAGGTCATGGGTTCATGTCCTGATGGAGCTGGATGTAGTTTTTCTTCTGAAATGACCTTGGCTCTCAGCCTTAAATAGGCATCAGGGGAAAGTTCTGGGAGGTAAATGTGGCTGACATGATGCTGGTCACACCACCCACCAAGTGCTGAATGATCTATAAAACTATTGATCTAGCCCAATATTCTAAAAGTGTGGAATAAAGGTCCTTTACTTTCTTCTTCTTCTGCCTTTCTATCCCCCAATGGAGCATAGGCCTTCAGCCAACTCACACCAAGTCATTCTATCCTTTGCCATTACATGGAGCTCTCCTCATGTCCTCCCCATCTTTCTAACTTCATTCTCCAGCTCTCTTCTCCATGTGATTTTTGGCCTTCCTTTATTCCTATGCCCCTGTGGGTTCCAATGCAAAGACATTCTGGTTATGCTGTTCTCCTGTTTTCTCAGAGTGTGTCCTATCCAACGCCAGCGTCTTTTCCTCACCTCTTGGTCCACTGGAGCCTGTTTAGTTCTCTCCCAAAGCTCTACATTAGTTATTCTATTGTATCATTTAATTCCCTCTATTTTGCGCAGGCACCAGTTAATGAATGTTTGTAATTTATTAGTAATTGCGTTAGTTGTTCTCCATGTTTCCGCCCCATACAAAACTTTACTTTTGCAATTATTAATCCTTGGAATTTGTAATAATGAGGTGTTACTGTATCTGCTGGCATTAACCTTTGCTTACAAGTTTAATTTGATCACTTTCAGGCAGCTACAAAACATCCGTCCATCCTTTATGCACTAAAATGTCAACTAGCAGTCCTGACCACCACATCCATGTTTCTCTGTGCCAGTTAGGACCAGCTGACTTGGAGCCGCCGCTCATGACTTCCAGATTTCTCTACACATGGCCTGTTGTTGAGCAAGGCATTATTTTATCATTTTTTATTTTTAACTTCAGAAGGAGGTTAAAACACTGTTTGAGTGCAGTAGGTGATAGGATTTTTAGAAATTTTGAGAGATAGACATTTCATGTAAACGTGACAAGTATTTCCGAGTGCAATGTGGTACACATGTATACAGCCAAGTGCATTCTTATCAGCTGTTACCTGTTTCTACAAAAAAAATCATCAATTCAAAACCTTTTGAGTGTCAGTAAAATTTCAAATTTTAAAAATTACCGAAAAACTTGACTTCCTGTGTGGAACAGGGCAGAGGCGAAAAAGAAAATAACTGCCTATGTTAAGTAAGTGTAGATGAGGATGTCTCCAATGAACTGGGTATAGGGAATGACTGAACGATAATATATAATTGTAGACTTGTTCTTGCTGTATGTTACCGTTAAAAATAGGATACCCACTAAGCATATAGACTAAATTTTATCAGCTGGTGATTTCACTACCTTGCCTCAAATTGTAAAAATATGTTTTTATATAGGTATTCTGTAAGGCGCTGGTTTCCAGATAGCCTAACCCTTTAATTCCAAGGAGCCTAAATGTGGTCACTTCCGGTTTCGCCACATCCCTGTAAATGCAGATACATGGCTGTTTGCAGTGACCTCTTCTCAAAAAGCGTATTTAAATTATTTTGGTGATAAATGCCTCTGCGAGGATATGAATATAGTAACTAAAAACAGTGATACCTGAGTCATCTCCTCTTCTCAGAAAGGGTAGTTAAATTCTCTTGGTCATGTGTGTCTCTGTGAGGATATGAATATAGTAACTAAAACATCATGGAAGGGGGAGAGGTGGGGCTCTTGTGACTCCCGTGGCTTTTTGAAAGCTATTTTATGTCATATTTGTCTGTAAGCCTCAGTGATACAGGTCAGGGCCTGAGCCATCTTCGCCATGAGAAATGTATTCAATTGAGTGCTTCACTCTGTCCCTGTTTACCCTTTAATACATCTTTTAGAGGAGTGGCTGGCCAAATGGCTAGAACGCAGGACTCTCAGGCGGTAGACCCGAGTTCGAATCCTCGGTAAGGCTGGGGATTTTTTTGTCGGGGGCAAAATAAAATCCTCACCTGCACAGTCGTGGCGACAGCACTAGCAATGTGGCCGTAAATCCTTAGGCTCAAAGACCCCCTGCCTATACCACAACAGTGGTATGAAAAAGGCAGTAATTAGCATTTTTTTTTCAAAATACATCTTTAAAATTCTAACACTGAAAATAAATGTTTTAAACATTTGTTAGTGACCTGTAATATGGTTTGTTTCTTAAAACAGGATTTGTTCTAAAAAAATTGCTACAGGGTTTATAGCCCATTAAAAAATAATGACAGAAAGAAAGAAGAAAACATAGCATTTATGGGGTGGGGTGAAAGTGTATAGACCCACAGGCCCTTGTTATTTTGGAAGGTCTGGCCCAGATCTCATACTTTCTAACAGTCACACTGGAAAACTTACTGGATTTATGAATATTCAATCACCAAAAGGATTACATTGTAAAAACAAGTTTTGTCTGTGTAAATGATAACATGAATGCATTGAATTTGTTCTGCACATCATCAGATGGGTAACCCCTGCTGTAAGGAATGGACGTTAACCCCATTGCCTCGAGAAGGCTAAATCTAGTCACTTCCAGTTGTGACACAGTTCACTAAATGCTTTTATATCACCATATCTGTGGTGACATGTTCTCGAAACATGTAGTTACAATTCATTGTTTGTGTGTGTGTGCATGTGCAAGGGTTAATAGGCCAATATAGTAATAAAACGTTTTCCTGTAAGTCTCAGTGGTAAAGGTCACAGGGTCATGATATGAGTCACCTGATATGAAATTATTTTTGTTAAGGAGCAGGGGAATGTATTCCATTGAATGCTTCACTCTGTTCATGTTTTTTGATTGTATGTTTTAATGAAAGTAAAGGATCAGTCCTGGGAATTCCCGTAGTTTATGACCCATTTATGTTTAGCATTCATGGTGCGAAAGGGTTAAAGGTTGTCTCCTGGGCACAAAAACCAAGAAAGGTTGTTCTGATTGCTCCTTAGAGATTGGCTAGAACCAGCATGAATATCTGGATGATTTTACTTGCTCCTCCCTCACAGTGATTGGCTAAAACCAACATAAGTGTCTGGATGATTTTACTTGCTCCTCCATCACAGTGATTGGCTAAAACCAGCATGAGTATCTAGATGATTTTACTTGCTCCTCCTTCACAGTGATTGGCCCAAACCAGCATGTGTGTCTAGGTGATTTTACTTGCTCCTCCTTCACAGTGATTGGCTAAAACCAGCATGAGTGTCTAGATGATTTTACTTGCTCCTCTTTCACAGTGATTGGCTAAAACCAGCATGAGTGTCTAGATTTTACTTGCTCCTCCTTCACAGTGATTGGCTAAAACCAGCATGTGTGTCTAGATGATTTTACTTGCTGCTCCTTCACAGTGATTGGCTAAAACCAGCATGAGTCTCTAGATGATTTTACTTGCTCCTTCTTCACAGTGAT